ACGGGAACGTTGTCTTAACTGGTAATGCATTTCTACCTTGTACTTCGTCAGTCGTTCGACGAGGACAACCTTTCGTCTGCTTGGAGGGATGCAATTTTTACGCCCATCTACAAAACTGGTGACCAACTATCCCAATGCCCATCACCTAACAGTCTACTGACAGTGCTTTATATACGCACCAACTTATCAGCTCCTGACTCAAATGCGCAGCAACCACGCCACCTCCCCAAATCATTGGTGGACGAAACTGTGGCGGCTACAACCACTGTACGAGAAGTTCGCGGTTCTTGGAGCTGACAGTGATGATGTCATCTGTTCTCTCGTTTATTTCGTGATGCATGAAATAATGAGACGAACGCTGGGAGGTTTTAAAAACCCTGGTGTCAAAATACCCATTGACGAACACCTTGTCGATCCAGCACATACCGACAACATCGTTGCCGTCTTCGAAGAAGAAAAGGCGCAAGTTTTCTTTGGTGAAGTGACCAAAATCATCCCTTCCTTCGGCAGGCGCTTTGCACCCACGGATTGTAAGGTCATGCTCGTTGACGTACCTTTACTGAACTCGTCACTCACAATCCAAGGAGAGGCACCCGAAGTTGTGGAGCGTTTTATGTATCTTGGATGTTATATTGGTTCTGATTGCATTGTGGCAGACAAGGTCAATCTATGAATCTCAGAGACTCGGATCGCGTTTGCTAATTTGAGGCACCTATGACATTAAAGCAGTGTACCCCCCGAATCGCAAGGGACGTGTTGATGTATGGCCGTGAGACTTGAATCCTTTTGGAAGGCGGAACCGGGACATCATCAGTCCCTCGACAACCGTTGTCTCAGATCCACAGCTGGTGTAGGCTGGCGTCGACGAATCCGTAACTGCCGTCGGAGAGCGAGTTTTTGGTTGTGCACCGGGAATTCCATTGAAGTATGTGCCCAAAACCAGAAGCTGCTTTGGCTATGTCATGTGTTGCGCATGCCGAACCCTCGTTCGCCAAGGACAGTGCTGTTTTCCATGCTAAACTCGGAGTGGCGGAAGCAGAGAAGTGGCCATTCCTGGCAGGGGGATATAAAAGAGGTTATGAAACGTTTGGGTGCTGTCTTTAATACTCGTCTTCCATGACGGGGACCTCTTGATCCCAACCGCTCCTGGTTGGAGACGCTGCAAGTTATGGCTGCTACTTGATGTCATTGGCGTTCTTGCTGTCAGTTCCTTTTCAGATTGTCTGAATTAGTACCTGGAGGCGTAGGCACTCGGAGTGTTTGTAGTAGACTGGCATCAAAACCTTCCACATTCACTTTATTGGCAACTTTTATTGACAACAGGGCTTTCATATAATTCTGGTTTTCTATAGAGGAAAATGTTGGTAGCTCAGGTAGCGTAGATGGTGGTCGTTGGCTTGTTCGCTGAGCTGGGCAATTTGATTGCAAACGTTTCATCACCAATCGAGGTGACATCATCAATGCGTCATTGTGGAGCGTAGTAGTGCGTACCGGTGGGTTGGTGGTTGTGTTTGTACGGCAGCGAAGCATCTCTGTTGAATGCTGATGTCATGCTGTCGTTGATGATAATTACTCCTGCTTTATTGTGCAGATGTTTCCGTGGATAAAGCCCGTTGATGCTAGCCAGTTTTGTCCCTCTTACTGCGTTTCGGCGGCACAGCCTGTCACTTCGCATCCAATCGTTCTTCATCAATTTTCACTCTCCTGTTGCAAAACCGAACAATCTGCCTACTCTGCCACGATTATTCCCCTTTGGGTCCCTCGTATTCTGTGACCCTAAACTATTGCATCCACCAACTCTCCAGATCCCGAGGTAATGTCCACCCCCTCAGTTCACTACGGCGTCTTGTTTTTGTTAGCGAGGTTTCACAAAATAACTGACCATAGTGTCTCCTATCTGTATAGATGGTTTAGAAAACGATAGAATCTCTTCCTTCAACCCAACAGCGTTGCGGTCGAATTGCTACTAAGATGTCAAAGCGTGGTCAGTGTGAGCGAATGTCACACCAACCGTTCATTCTTTGACATGCAATGTCCACGGACATTACCAGGTCTTTTTCATTACACATCGGTGAATTGCAAAGGGAGAGTGAATCGTAGTCAGTGGATGTCCCGTAGAGCACGACAACGACGCATGGTAGAAAATCTCAAGATCATTGGAACTTTTGGATAGTGTTTACACAACCTACGGTAACGGAGGAACAAAAGGTCTGAAAGGCATCCTCGAGGAAGAGAAAAGAAGAGGAGAGTCCATTTCCACAATGAATGTCAGAAATTTAGTAAGAATGGCGCGATATATTCGGAGAGGCGATATAGGACATCAGTTCTTATGACCGCTTCCCGGTGTAATGACAGTTTGGGATGGGTGCATGGTATGCGCCCGATGGCTTCCGTACGAAACGAGCCACTCGATAAACGAGAGTAACTTTTAGTAACGGTGAGGAAGATTCCATCATGAGACGCTGGGGTAGCATTTCAAAGGCAGTCAAGCAATCGTGTGGCAGTGAAACGTGGAAAGCCTTATTATAAATCCCATCACATGACAGACCACCTTCCGGAAGGAGACACGTAGCTAACTAGAAATACCGAAGGGCAGGTTCTAGTAACGCAACAATAGCGCTCTGGCAGCAGGACAATGGCTGCTGTCCGCACCATCTATTCACAAGGTACTGGGAGTTTCACTTCCGACCAATGTTTACCGCGTGCACTCGTGTATTAAGGCTCTCAAGTACTGTTTTTGGCACCTTAATTTCCTATATCTGGGTACACACGTTATCGAATTTGGGAACTGGTTTCTACCCCAGACAACAGGCTCCAACGACAAAAACAGCTACTGGCATATCAATTGGAAAGGGTTTGGAACCGATTGAGAAGTCATCGTTTCAGAAGTGCTTGGTAAATGATCGGTAGTTTTTATTTGGGCAATGTTTCGCTCTTGGCAGAAAAGGTTCGTCAGGCCTGATGAAGCTTTTGTGTCAGATATCAGAGAAATTATCACACCTTAGCACATGCAAGCACTTAACAAATTGAAATGGTATATTGTTGTCTCGTCCAGACAAGGGACTGGGCATCACGATTGTGAACAGACCAGGTCGTCCAAATAGAATTCGTGGTTTTCTTTCTAGTGGAACCAAGTTTAACGCTTCAAAAAAGAAATGCTGTGCTGTTCTGGGCAAGCGGAAGTGGAGCTGAAATTGTATTGAAGTCTTTAACAAATATGCCTGTACAGCGATATGCGTTATGAAAGCATAGGATCCACGGGTACAAACGTCCCTTGCACGTGTTGGTCGCATGAGATACATAAGTTGGAATGTTGATTGTACTTTGTCTTCGATACAAACCGATTACCGGGCGAAGTGGCTGAAGTGGTTAAAGCATGAATTTGTTGACGGGAATGTCCGTGGCTTGAACCCGACTTCTACCTCTCGACGTCCCCTGGCAGTATCTCAGCCTTGGTGCTTCCTTCGGGTCATATGGCAGCTAGGCACCGAAAGGGTGGTACAGCTGAACGATCAAATGAAAACCCACCGTCCATTGGTTAAAAGACATGCTTTAACCTGTTCGCAGACAACTCTGTCCTTACAGTCTGTGTTGCTCTTTCGAATTCATTGGCTGCATCCGTCGTTAGCTCTCAGCAGCGACATTACTATCTTGTCATCACTTTTACAGGATGTACTTTTCAATAAAGAATCGACCAGCGGTGCCGAAGTAAAAAATGGGTCGTGACTGAAGAGCGCTGTCACCAAAATGTACGGGGCGATTAATCAATGGCAATATGGAAGAGTATATAAGATACCTTGCGAGACTTTACATTGGTCTGTTGGCGAAGCATGTAACTAGATCGTGTCCTTACTGTCGACAGGTGCTTCACTAAGTGGTCGGTGAATTCGAAAGTGACATCCGAGTACTTGATCGTTTACGAATCGGTTCAACCACATCTTCCAGCCACTGGGTGATGAACTGCTACGGAGAGATGTTTCTAACGAATACGGGGCCCAATGAATGTTTCCGTATCTCAGGTGGCCCATACTTACGAGACGTATTCACACCCGCGGGCCTTATGTATTCTTACCGTATTCCTTCATGTGGTTGTCCAACCGTTTTTTGGAGTTTGTAGCTCCGTTTTCACATTATTTCCTCAAGCGCTAAACCCGGTTCTATCGGAGAGAACAGCAGGGATATTGCCCGTGTAATCTATTTTGTTAAGAGTCACAATGTTTAATCCTTCGTCCAGGCGAGGCCGTTTTTGTTGCGCAAGTTTTGAGGCGCTTATATGTGTCGATACGTGATAGCGAACATTCGCCAAGTTTGTTGTTTGAGTCTGGCGTCCGGGTTGCCCGTCCGCACTTGCGGATCACTAGGCACTATCCATCAAACCAACCTGCTTGTTCAGCTTGATGTAGCCTATGCCTCAAAGTCGGCCAAAACCCGTCTGCCATCATGTGCTGGTGGCTAGTGATATCATAGCCATCCGGCTGCGTAGTCCAAACCTTTTTTTTCCAAAAACGTCACATGGATATCCTATCCTTACCTTGGTTTCGTGCTGGCCAGTCTGTAACAGATGAGATTCATCACACATCGTATTCGTCTTTCCATTTTGATAATGGCCTTGGTGCTACCGACTCCCACCGATCTTATGGAGTCGTGGGCATTTTGCCCACTGGAAACCAGACTTACTGAATGGGGGAATTCTGTATATAAGTTGAAATAAACATGAACCTGGTGCATTTTTTTAAACCACGAAGTTGTGCCACTCAGTCGAACTAGGAGTACAGATGCTCTGTTGTTGAACCGTCGACTGATACAGAAGCGACTCTGAACCGTTCTTCAATAAGATAAGTCGTCATGCATGGCATTCGTATCATCTTTGTTTTATTTGTATATTCGCATAGGTACTGTGCCTCATCTCAAGAACCTGTTGTGAACCTCCTGCCTTGAGAGGAGCAAGTTTCTGTCGGGCTTCCACAAGACATAGCTGTAATATAAACGGTTCATTGTGAATGGAAGTCAGGCGCCGCAATGTTGGTGGCTCTCATTCGCCCCAGCGAAGTCCTTCGCAATTACTCCAATCTTTCGATGTTTTTACCAAATTGCCAGACGATTGCAAAAAATCCACGAGCAGTGGAGGTGCAGGTTTGTGCTTAACTTTGCTAGGTTTTCCAATAATCGTTTCACATTGCAGTCACTCTGCTTGTAATGGTTCTGAGTCTTTTGCTCATAATCTCCGAAATACGGAACTATGTGGACCCAAAATTGGTATATTCCTATGAAGTGGACAAGGAATTCGGCTCGTATGTTGTGGTATTCCTTCCTTAGTCTTTCTATTCGTTCAGAAAAATCCAGATAAACATTGACATTACGGTGGCGTCCAAATGCGAATGTAGGTCGCTTGCAAGTGTTTTGTTTAACTTTTAGTTATCTCAATGGATTTGTTGGACCTCGCTGGCTCGGCTGTGTATTCGCAAGGCAAAGCCAAGTATAAGAAAGCTTCTTTCAAGCTAAGTGAACAAAACCGGGAGGCGTTTGAGGTGAGATCTTTTGAAGCAGTTGTCCTGGGTTTATAATCTTCCTTGTTTAATGTATGGTATACCCCAAAGGTGTCCACGCTCTTTCCCGGGAGGGATTCAATAAAGGTAGATGCGAAAATGAACAACTGAGCCCATTTTGATGCCACCGCGCGTGATGCGCTTCTGTCTCCGGCTTGTTCTTAATTTCTACTTTACTTGAGTCAGTATTTACCTGCTGTTCTCAAATGTACATAATCATAGGTTGTCCGCCCGTTGAATCGAATGTCGACCAATTGTCGAGCGTTGAACATAAACCAAGATATCCATCTTGATAGTCGCTGCTTCACAATAAAGCAGCCGGAGAAACTGCAGTTTGTGACGAGCGATTTTGGCACATGTTTCGTGAACCAAAACGCGTTAAAAATTATAATCCGACCAACTTTCATGGACGAGCGGATACTCAGAATGAATGGAAAAGAACAGGGTTATTTAACCTTGGCGTTTTCAGTGCGCATTGGCTGTACACGGTTACTTAGATGTTGTCACATTGATCGGGTCTAAGTTTCGAAAATCTGGATGTCAGTTGCGTAGGTTTCTCCTTCCTGGGACTATCAATTTAGGTGTACTTATACTCAAAGTCTGCTTCAGTCAGGTGCCGCCAGATGTGCAGTTCTATCCTACACGGGCGTGCGAATCGGGATGCGCATAGGTCTACGTGAACAGGATCTGAACTCATGTAGGACCTGTCTGAACAAGAGCGTGCGCCCCAACCTTCATACACTGTACACTTGTTTACTTTCATCTTCGCTTAGTTCTCCGACTACATCATTTCATTTTTTCTTGCGTACTACTCAGAAGATGCATTCAGTAGTTTTTTCAAACGACTAAGAGTTCGGTATTTGGTCTGCCGTGTTTTTCACGTCAGTATAACCTTTTATCGTTGAACCTTGCCACATTGTCTTCACTATTACTTGCAAAAGAAATAGACAAACATCCTGCTGATCTTTGCACCGCTATCTCTAACAGCGAAGGAAAACTTTTGCCAACGCCCTCCGTACAACGCATCACGCGGTGCCCGAGATGCTGTGGAAGAGAGACAGCTCATTTACTGTGAACTCGTTCACAGATACGATAGAATCCAATGAGATAAAGGGACGGCGGCCGTACGACGCGTGCAATATTGTGGGAACATTTCATGTCCAGAAAGTCGCCGGGAATATGCATGTGCTACCGGGGAGGTAAGTTTGCTCCGATGGTACATGAACTCGGTTCTTCGTAATTTTTCACCGTTTTAGTTTTATTTCTTTCACGACTGTTGTAGAAACAAGAATATGTCTTTAATCGCTCATTTGTCCACTTCCATCTGCACTGCGCCGCTGCTCTCATTCAACAGTGTTCTCAACCATATCGCCCGTTAGGCTCGAGAACTCCGCAGCGAAAGAATGATCAGTTGCGCAACCCAGCGTGGATACATAAGTGATCTTCATTCCAGCTAAGTACCATTTTCCTTGTCTGTTCAGCATGGTGCATACAGACAGCGTTCACATTGTTCTATTTGAAAGTGTCCTTTTCCGGTCCTTGTGCTATTTTTCTCGCGAACAGTTGGACCGACTCACTCTTACTGGAGCCCATCAGTAGTGCCGGACGTGCAAGGTCAAGGTCACACCACTATTCCATCAGTCCACGATGAACGTACCCAGTTATAATAATCGTCCAGCTGTAACACCCTTTCGGTATCACCCAATGACAGCACGAGGTTTGAGGTACTGCCAGGTCGCCCAAGCCTAGACAAAAGCACTTGAGAAACAGGGGTCGGGCTCGAACCACGGACCTTCCGGTCAGTAGTTTCGCGCTTTGATCGTCGAGCTCTCTTGAGCTCCGAACATACCTTACTCTGAGTGTTTGTCGTATATGTAATTTTGACGGACGCCGTCTCGAACGATGACCAAACAACTTATTAGGGGTGCTGGCTGACGACCGAGCTGCCGGGTCTCTCCGGTTGCGTAGGGTCGCGCATGCTTCAAATTTATCGGGCAGTCTTCGACTGTTTGTGACTTTTTCGGGATTTGTAGTTTTGCCTCATCTCGCATGCCAGGAGACCTGAATTCGGACTCTTGTGCGACTGAGGAGATACACTGTAAATGAGCTGTAAACGGAGCAAAACTCAAGTGCAGTGAAGCATCAGTGCCAACACTGATGTTGCTGTCTTTGATGATGATGATGATGATGATGAACAGATGATGAACGGTTCAGAATCCCATAAGCCCTACAACCAGTTTCAGGTAACTGTAACTGGTCAGTAAGTTGTGAAATTGACGAAGATATGACTGGGTGCGGTTTACTCTTTAGGGTTAATTTCTTTTTACGCACTCCAGCGGTCAGGGACATGCTGCCAGATGTGAGCTCTCCTCAACCCAGAGAGCAAGTTATATGATGCATAAATGAGATTGTCTGCCCCAGACCTTTGTGTCTCATTTTTTTTGTTTGTTTCCAGAGCTCAGGTTTTCAACTTGTGTTCACGCTAACAAACCACTGGTGTTCACGACTCACATTGCTGTCTTGTTGAAGATAACAATGTGGGTTACGATGAGAGAGTGGTGTTGCTATGGTTACAAATTTTCCGTCTACTGGGGTTTGTTTTGAATCCCACAGTAGCTCAGTAGCAAGATTCATCAACAAGCTCCACATAGCTCACTGGTCAAGGCGTGAACTCACTAATTGGAAGGTCCGTGGTTCGAGCCCGACCTCTGATCCTGTCTAGGCTTGAGCAACCTTGCAGCCTCTCGGCTGCTGTGTTTCATTCGGGTGGCATGGCAGCTAGGCAACGAAAGGGTGTTGCATCTGAACGATTATTATCATTATCGCTGGCAACCTTGAATGAATATAATCAAGAATGTTTCCATACATTTGCTCATAATATCCTCCTATTGTTGTTATCTCCCAGTAATATTTGTTAAGGAGGTTTCCACAGATTGAGCGTGATTTCCACCAGTCTTGTGGAGGAGTAACTCACTTAACATATCACAGAACTTCCCTTTTCTCTGGATAACTCGAGCCGTGGGGCACAACAGATCATGTTGGTCACGTTAGTTACAAGATACTTGTGTTTATAGTGTGAATATCATGTTTTTTCCATCTGTTTCTTTGTTCTGTTTCCACACAGGCCTTTTGATGGGCCAGGAGGCTCCCATGTACACATCGCACCTTTTGTGCAACTGGCAGGTGAGTTTTATCTTCTGGCTGGAAGACTTTTTTTATTGGCTGAATTTCAAGCCATGGGTGAATACTGGTCGGGTATATCCGCCGGTAATCATTCCCTTCCTCTCCCAGAATCAAAGGAATCATTTTTAGATTTTGGTGTGTGCCCCTTGGAAAAGCTGGTTCATCCCTCCCACAAAGGAAGTTTTTAGAGAGAAGAACGGATCCTCTGTGCGAACTCCACAGCTACGATGTCCGGGAAAAACGTGTTACCCACATCCTTTTTTAGTGGCTGGTAGCCCGCCTCGGCGTCAGTGGTTTGTCAGTTTGTCTGCAAACCCAACCAAGTCGGGGCTGTGCGGACAAACGATTCTTGTCGGATCCCTCTAATCAATAAGCGTTTGGTCAGAAATACAGCGAAACACTTGGGATTATCCGTCTTGTTCCAACTTTAAATCCATTCAATTTGTTTTCCCATTCACGTTCGTTTTCAGATTTCAACTTTAGTCATCGTATCAACCATCTGTCTTTCGGAGCTCAGGTGGCCAACCGTGTTAATCCTTTGGATGCAGTCGAGGAGATCTCTTACAATCGTGAGTTTTTTTCCTGTTTTCACCGGCACCGCCGTTGCATGATCCTGTCGCCTACCTTGCGATTACGCTTGGTCTAACAGCTGCTAATTAGCGGATGCTATCTCTTATCATGTTGGGGAATTTGTTTAACTAGTTGGTCTAGTTCACGCTGTTTGACAGCTAAGATTCACAGCTGTGACTGTATGGCTAGTTCAGAGCTGTTCCCTTTTGGATTGTATGTGCGTTTGGGGGAGAACAAAAGCTATTCTTATTGATTATCTGACCATAATTGGCTATTTAATGTTCGTATTTCGTCCTCTGTAGCTGTCTTCCTTCCCTTGTCTTTTTTCGGGTTTGAACTTTAGCGCGATTGTACAGCTGCTCGCTACATGAATTCCAGCTAATTAAGAGACCATTACTGCACACACCTGTGTTTGTGCTGACTATCGCTGGTCTTCAAGTTGTTCTTGATCGAAACGCGGTAAAAATAATTGCCTGAATGCAATATCCACATCGCGGTAACTATTTCTCGTCGTTTTTGGAGCTTGATTAGTGACGCCGTAAGGTGGTAGCTATTAATTAGGTTGTCCGCCTCTCCTCGCACCCTCCATACCATTATCTTGTCTTTTTTCCCTTTCGTTCCAGCGTTGGAGAGTTTTCGCTACTACATCAGCATTGTTCCCACTCGGGTTGTGTATGCCTTCTCATCGTTGGATACCTATCAGTATGCTATCACAGTGAAGGTAGGTTGATTGTCCATATCTCCCCTTTCCATGTTCTCTTTCGTTTGCACCTGACCCAATCTGTCTGTTTGTACGAATTTGTGGTCATCAGTTGCGCATCTACAGTCTGAAAAACCCTGACGTGTTTCGGATCCGCTTCTATGTTTTCCAAAATGTCTGTGATTGTGTGAACTGGAACCAACCCGGCTTTCGCGGACCGGTTGGCCACATAACTGATGACGGTCTGTGTGTAGTGCTGGCAATTAAAGCGATTTCTTTAATAGGCTCCATTCCCGAAGAGGGACCACCACCTCAACTACAACCAGTCCGGTGCAGTTGGGCGACGTGCGGTGTGGTATTTGTGCTTTTTTGGGGAGACTACTTATGAATTCCTAACAAAATCGATACTACATGTCTCCCAGTGCCAAGTACACCTCCAATCTGGAGCAATAAATTCGCATTCGTTCTCGATCTGGCCGGACTTTTCATCTGTGTGTCATCTGAATCAGCTTCCGGAGACAGCACGTTTGAAGACTGACCATTTTCCATGTTATCCGGCCTTCTGGAGGGACCACTTTTGTCGGAAGAGACCATTTTTCATCTTTCACTTCAGGTAGTTTCTCCAGAAGGAACATATATCCCAAAATATTCTTAGAAGGGCAAATCAAAATCGATCGCTGTCCAAGGCTCCTCTTCTCTCCAACAATTAGGTCCCTTCCAGAAGGGACCACTTCCCACAAAGTACCTGTTTTGTATAGTAAAGTTCTATTCAAAGGAGAAAATATACCGGATCCTCATACCTAAAGACAGGATACGGAAATATTGTAAAGTCCGAGAATCGAGTCACTCCTGGGGGGTATTTTATTGGCACGAATCTGGTTTCACCCCATCGCGGATGCAGTCTGTTGAGGCGAGAAATCAGACTGAAATTTAAGTTACTGCACTGCCACACTAGTCTCATCCCGGATCACGAGATACCTGCCGTTTATGAGTAGAAATGCTCGTTCTTTATGTGCACCCATACTTTTATCAGTATTGGACAAACGAACCGACCAAACGCGACCTACATTTTGCTGGGAGTCAATCCAAGTTTTTGAGACTTTCTGTCTCCTTCTTGCGTATAAAATTTCTCTTAGGCCGATCTGGTTTGAACATAGTCGTGTGAAATGTCATGAAACTGGTGACTAGCCAACTGTGGCTACAGCAATAATATTTTGATGAGGTCGCTAAGATCTGAAATGCGATCACATGCAAAGTCCGTCTTAAAAGCGAGTTCGTGGTAGCGTTTGTAAACAGTGCCTTTTGAAACGGCTGGAATACCGCCAAGTTGCTCAAGCTTAGAAAGGGAAAGTCCAGAGGCAGACGTCGGGTTCGAACGACGGACCTTCCGATCAGTAAATTCGTGCTGTAACCACTGAGCTGTGTTCGATAATCATAGCTACCACAGACCACTGTTCTTCTTTCGTTCTATGAATGGGAATTTCCAGTAAACCCAACGGTGCCGTTAGGATGAGAGTGACCATTCTTGCAGTAAGTACAAAACGGTTGTCCATGGGAATGAAGCAGCCACCATCGGAAGACCAAACTGCTCTTGTCGGTTGGACTTTATTCAGCGGTTCTCGAATTCATGTCTTGGTTTATAGTGGCATCAAACCTGCTGAAAGCGTATTGACAGTTAGGTAGGAAGCTTAGTGGTTAGGGAGCGAAGTTACTGATCGGAAGGTCCGTGTTCGAACTTAGCCGCAATGTCTGAATTTCTCCTTCGGCAACGTCGGGGTATCTGAGTCCTTGTCAGAGAAGACGCTCTACAAGCTGTTTCATATGAGTGGCTACAACACAGTGACTACCATTTTTTTCGGATGGGGACCCCGAAACTCGAGTCACCCATTACTAGTAACACTAGCACAGATGGCTCAATCGCGCAGTCAGCGGTGCTCATGCATCAAAACCATCGTGTTCAACGCGTAGCTACCCAGTTCCCGAACTAACTGAACATGCCTCTAATGCTTTGTTGTATGTCCCACACGCTCATTTCAGTGATAGAAATTGCAGCACCTGGAACCAGTATACCTATGGCACACCGTTTATAAAGCTGATAAATTGAATCATTGATCGGTTATAGATTTTTTGGGAACAGAAGAACCGTGGACTAGGAAAGAGTTGATGGAATGGCTAGGTGAATGCATAACGTGTAAAATTAATTAGAGATAGGACCATACCCTGGTGAACCACCGTCACTGGGATGGGGCAGATTGCACCGTTGTCCAACCTGCATGTCCACAAACCCAAAGGAAAGTTGGCCAATCAAGTGAGACTAAACAGCATGCAGCATGCATGGAGCGATTTTTCTGTCCAACCTCTGAATAGTTAACTACGTTGTGATCTTTGTTCAGAGACGTAGCAGTGATGTGAACATGGGAAGCGACACCATCCAGTGCGACTTGGTGTCTCAGGCAGATAGGGAGAAGACAAGTGAGGAGAAATCTCCCGCAGAACTCTATTTTCTACGCTTTCCAATGAGACTAAAGTGGTGATACTTTTGGGGTCGATTTGTGACTGAACCTAATCCAAACGGTCCTCCAAACCTCAGGATGATGGAACAAAACACTACTTAGCAAGTCCTCCATGGAATGCTTGGGGAAATGATACCACGCAAATATTGTGAAAAGCGTCAGTTCTGGTAAAAATCGATCTGGCGTTGCTCGATCCAGGATGACTGCTTCGGTACGGGCAGAGGAAACAACTTGACTTAAGCCAACTCAATCCAGTGGAACGCAGTTTTCAATTCGCAGTAGGATAAAACAACTCAGGATAGATTTTAAATGGCTGCTTTTGCGAATGGTCGTTAGATGGTCACACCTATTCAAAGAAAGCTTAGTTGCTGTACCTCAATTTGCTGTCTGGAGGAAAAAGCATGTATCAGCTGTGAAATGAGCTGGTCTATTGATTCGGGAACATTTGTGGACGGTATTTAATTTAGCTGGTAAACGGTGTTACTGAGTATGCTCGAGCGTGTCAGCCATGGTTGTCGGTAACCTGTCACCAAAGGCTTTCATCCACTTCCTTAATGGATAGAATTCAGTGTTCCTTGTCCGGAAAAGATGATTCACAAGCTATATCCACACCATCGACGGTCGATTATCGATATCTTTCCATCAGTGACAGAGTCGATAAACACAAAAATCAAATGCGTTGAGAACTTCGGTCTCTCTTACAGGTCGTACCAACTGGATCCACGCGACTGATTACCAGATTACGGTCTTCACGTTTCATCACACTGCTTAGTTGGATAAATCCAAGATGAACCAGTGCCCCGGCGGCATGTCGTTCTTCCTCACAAGGATTTCATCCACAGCGTTGTAAATTTGCGAGTACTGAGGTTCTTGAACAAGTTGGTGGACAAACGGAAAGCGAAAGTCAGATTTACTGATTTGTGGGTCAGCTCTTGCCACGGGTCGTTGACATCGTCACAAGTCTTTCTTGTGTGATCAATCTAGCTGTTCTGTCGGTGGATCGATTGTTTGGTCTGCATTTGTTCGGTTAAGCTAACAGGGACGCTCTGTGGGAACCATCGGGTTAAATTATCGACCCTCGCCAACTTATTGTCTGTAAATGTCTTTGCAGTTAGGGCATGCTTTCGGACAGTAAAAACGATTGATCATTCTGAACAGCCACATTCGTGACTGCCGGATCGCTGCGAGCTCATAAACTACTTCGGCTTTTTCCTCAGCCCACTTGTGTTGAAACACATTTCGTCTGGTTAGGAAGCTAGCTGGAACTGGCATACATAGGTTCAACCCCTGGACTTTGCCTATTTTCTACTCGTCTTCAAATACTCCCCTTAATGAGTAAGATGAACCGGACTTTCAGTGCGAAAACGTCACATTTCTTCAAGATCTTTTCTGATATTATACTGCTTCCAAATTTTGTGCAAGAGAATCAGGTAACCGGTACAAGTGTATCGTACCCCGCATACCGCGTTTTTTATGCATAGTCCGTACGAAGGTATGGCAATTAGAGTGGGCGTAGTGGATGGCCAGAATCGGGCTGAACGCAGTTGCCTGTTTCCAGCTGATGTGAGATGGCCCAAGTGGTAAGAGCGCGAATTTACTGACCGGAAGGTCTGTGGTTCGAACCCGGCCTCTGTCTATCGACTTCCCCTGTCTAGGCTTGGGCAACCTGGTAGTATTCCAGCCCTCGTGCATCCTTCGGGTGGCATGGCAGTTAGGCACCGAAAGGGTGCTACCGCTCAGCGAGCTGATGCGAACCATCCATTAGAATTCCGGAATTGTGAGCTCATATTTATCTGTGCCAGATCTTTCACTCCATCTAAGCATCTGGTTCAGTCAACCAATCCACCAACTATAAACCGTGTGCAATGGAAACATTAGTTCCAACTGCTACACTTTCAGTCATCGGAAACTGGGAGAATGTCGGGCATACAGCCAAGCCTTTGAGGTGATGGCGCATTTAGTTGGTTTGAGAGCTGGGTAGCTATGCACTGAAGGCGATAGCTTTGATGCATAAGCGCCATTGACTGTGCGATTGGGCCATTTCTGCCAGTGTCCTTGGGTCCCCATCAAGGAAAACGGCAGTTGTCGACTCGACTAAGTTTACTGGTTAGTGTTTTTTCAGCTCATACACTGTCCACCTCTTGGTCGCTCCCACCCAGCACACGGCTGGGCGAAAAGAACTCTGCGTGGCACATGGCCTTCTGCAATGCGGGGTACATCACCTAACCAGCGTAACCTATGAAGCGTGACTAATTCATCTATCGCGGGAAAGTTCCTTCCTCCTAGGACCATCTGGCATAACTTAGCATTACTAATTTGATTTTTCCACCAGCTCCGACCAATGCTTCGGAGACACCGGTGGTCAAACACTGAAATCTTTCGTATTTGTTGTGCGCGTGGAGGCCACAACTCTGATCTATTAAGCAGTATGGGTCGCACGATTGCAGTGTAAACTCTACTTTTGCAGGATAAACTCGGTGGTGTCGTGGGGGGGGGCGAGATGGCTCAAGTGGTTAGAGCGCGAATTTGCTGACCGGAAGGTCCGTGGTTCGAACCCGACCTCCGCCACTCGACTTCCTCTGTCTAGGCTTGGGCAACCTGACAGTATCCTAGCCCTCGTGCTTCCTTCGGGTGGCATGGCAGCTAGGCACCGAAAGGGCGCTACAGCTGAACGATTTTTTTTTCGGAGGTTGGCAAAAGTTGTCCTGGCCTTCCCGATTCGAGAATTAGTCTCAATTCCAGTCAGTCCACTGGGACTCGTACGAATTTATTCACCACATCGATTGGCAAACGTGAGGTTTGGGTTTGATCCCACATAGTCTTGTAGCAGCGTTTTACAGTTTGCAGGCGTGAAGTACATTCCAAACAGTGCGGCAGAATCACTTGGGTGATTTAAAATGGTTTGCGTTTTTGAAGGATCTGAACAAAGGAGAGCCGCAATATCTGTGAGGGAACGTCGCGGGAACACTTCGACTCCCGTGGTAATTACTGCTTGTCCGCTTCCAAATGTTCTAGCTAGACTACCCTTCCTTCTTTCTTTTTTTAGATGTGAAAATTGATATTTTCATGGTGAACTGGTCAGATTACTCATCTCCGCGTACACCCGTCTACTGTGTCGACAATCTCTTTTACTCATGAATCTCTCTAGACTACCCTTCCTTCTTTCTTTTTTTAGATGTGAAAATTGATTATTTTCATGTGAACTGGTCAGATTACTCATCTCCGCGTACACCCGTCTACTGTGTCGACAATCTCTTTTACTCATGAATCTCTCAAGACACCTGCACTATTTGGCCGTTTGGCCTCGATTGGCATAGAATCCATACGTGTTTCGGATCGATAACCCTTACCACTGTTGTCTAATTATTGTGTATAGAATATGTACTCTTTAGTTTGCAGGCTACAAAGGTGTAAGACAATACAATGATCGATCACAGGTAGTGACTGAACTCACTTGTTGTTTCCGAACAATAACAGCGCGTTGCTACCCATCCAGTGAATGTACCACCTCTGCTCCGATGATCTCCTTCCAACAAGGAGGTAGTTTCAAAGGCGTGGAACTTTCTTCTGTCTATCTGTCTTTGGGAAAGAAATCCACGGGATCAAAGAAAAAACACTTTCTGATTCTCTGGATGGTTGATTTAGCCTCAGAAAGGTAGGCTCACAGTGTAGTCCTACTGACCTTGGTTTGCTAATTGAGCGTCAGCTGTGATATACCAACTGTAATTGACTAGACTCAACTCAGCCGATAATTCTTTGGGATAATTCACAGTTGAAGTGCCGCTTCGTCAACGAATGATGACCCGCTCAAACATGCTCGCAGTTGCTGTGAATCCAACCAGTTCTGTCACATGCTGAGAAACGGATTCCAGCAGACTGCTTTGTTGATGCGTGAACTTGCTAATCAGAAGGTCTGTGGGACAAGCCCAATCCCAGCACCTCTTCTGTTCATCTCTAGGCGTGGACAACCGGGCAGTATCTCTCCGGGTGGCATGGTTGGCTCCGGAAGGATCTTACACCCAAACGACTATTGTTATCATTCCTTGTCTCCAGTAGTATGTTTTTTAGTTTAGCATTTTTCATATCTATGGCTCGAGGTGATCGACTACTGAAACGATGGATGCTGTAGCGAGTTCACTGTTATTACCACTTATTCTTGTGATAAAAGAGAAGCTTTTTTAAAATGAAATTTTGCTCATAAATAACATCAAATCAGATGGTTTCCTCTACTATTCTCAGTCTACTTAAGATCACGGTTACTCGGATGAGTCGTCATCATCATCATCATCATTGTCAGCTGTAATAACCGCGTACTTGGCTTACAGTGCTTGTAGCTGCCACAGTTTCGTTCACCGATGATTCGGGGAGTTGGGGTTGGTAGCTGCGTATTGGAGGCGGGAGCTGCGTAAATACAGCACTGTAGATGGACTGGGGATTGGGAAGAAAGCTATGCATTGAAGGCAATAGCGCCACTGAGGGCCCGACTGGGCCATATCTGAGATTGTTTGAGTGAGTGACCTTAGTTGATAGGGCAGGCCCAGCAAGCGTGCTAACTCGAGGCTGTTGGTTGCACCAAATACATGTTCGCTCCACGGATCGTGCGGTTGTCAACTTACTCCACTTCTCAGGTGAACAGACAGCTCTTCTCGATGTGAAAAGACGCCCTAGAGAGGCGCTTGTTGATGCAGAAGTTCAGGACAGAACCATTTGACTTGTTCGCTTTCCAGGCGGTTCCACGTTTTGGAAGCATCACTGTAGTTTGTCGTTCATCGTAGTGCCACAGACTGGCTTCGTGTCGAGCATTTCTATCGAGTAGTTTCTGACGTTTTCAGACCATGTCTTAGTCACAGCTCTCCTTATTTTAGGGCAACAAATGTGTATTTGCACAACAGGCCTTTAAGTCAACCGTAGAACAACCGTGGGAAGTGGCTCGACAGAGGTCATTTAGTCATCCTCTTTTCTGAGTGGTTTGGCGGAAGAGATGGGGCATAGATGGAGGAATTTACGGGTTGACGGGACTCGCCTTTCAACCCAGCATTGTCAGCATGTTCAACCGAAAACTTTTCACTGTACATCAGTCAACCACGGCCCCGAATTTGTCATCATCAGGTCCGATTCAGCGTGTTTGACCCACTCTTTGAGTTACATTAACTCGTGGGATGTACTGACTAGATTAAATAGTATGCCCCAACTATAGTCTCTTTTCTTGAAACTTCGTTTGACTCGGAGCAATGACCGTAACTCTCGCAGAGATACCAAGAGCCCCTGCTGTTTGTTTACCATGGCACTATCACGTTGAACATCGCGTTTTTGTTCTGGTTACCGAGCCAACTCTTTTAGTGTATACCAGTCTCTCCGTGTGATTAGCTGGTTTCTTCTGGGGAATGATCTCGCCGAATTGATTACACTCGGAGTCATGTTCGACGAGGAACGCTACTGTGGCTATCTTGGGATGCCCCATCCATGGGGATCTGTTATAGGGACCAGTGTGGTTCGTTCTTGTGAATACACTGGCCTCCTGTCGTGTATACCGGGCACTTCTATGCTGTATTCCGCCTGGGGCTATTAATAGTCGCTCCTACGCCCTCATGCAATATCTTCGCCAGCGTTGTGTTCACTCAGGTAACTTCTTGGCTGGACCCCTCGTCACTGACAGGGCAACCTGAAATGTTTGCGTCCAAATTCTGAACCTAATATCTCATATTTTTGATAAGAGACGGCTTTCCACACTTGTAACTGTTTTATCAGGCTAAGCTACCGTCTGTGCGGCCTCGAATTCTACACAGTGTTTTTTCTGTTCTCTCTTTTTTCCCATCCCAGAATCGCACAGCAGAGGGCAACAAAAGTGATTCAGTACCTGGTATCTTCTTCTCCTACGACACCTTTCCTTTGTTGGTTCAAGTGACAGAATCCAGGGAGCTGTTTGGTACATTTCTGGCACGCCTAGCGGCTCTGGTTGGTGGACTGTTCGCCACAGTGGGTTTTATCCGACAAGTTGTGCTCACCGTACCTCAGGTCGCCTTGGAAAGTCGGTCTGGACGCCGCTGGAGTGCCAAATGGAACCAGATTACAAGAAAAGCATTTGGAGTTGTAAACGGTGACATCAAACACACCCAAACTCCTGAAAAGGGTCTGCTTAATCCCGACTCAGCCACGTGACGTTTCAAGCAGCCTGAATTAGTGTTTTTTTGGTTGCACCTCAGTCAACTGTGATCTCGCCCTTTTGTATGCAGCTGATGACCCGAATTTCTCTGGTCGGCTTGTGTTCTTTACTTTGTGATCTGTCCCAAACGTTTCGGTTTTTGTTCTTCGCCGAGTTTTTCCGGTCTCCCCTTGCTGTCTCCGTTTTTTGAGTTTTGTCTATTTTTCATGCGTTGCATTCGCTGACACCTGACCTGCGAGGCGTTTTGCTGGTTTCGTTTACTACTTACACTACTAATGTACGACAAGTAGTTGAAGTACTTTCCTGCCTGGCCGGTAGGGCAGCGGATAACGCATCCCCCCGTTGTCCACGGATCTTTAGCCAGGGGCTTACAATGATACAATAACTGTTGTCATTCCATTAGGTTGACCCCGCTACCGCCCAAAGATATAAACTAGAGGCTATCGGAAGTTTACCGTTGAAAACTAATGATTCCGTTGGTCGAAACACTCGGAAGACCAGTTTCTCGAAGCTCCGATTCTAGGACCGTTGCGTGAGAATCTATCATCTAATGGACAGTGAAAAAATATCTAGTCCACTACGGGAAAATGCACGAATAATCGCTCACCTTATTTCGTATGAATTCGGTTAGAAACGATTCTGCTTGATCATCCATTTGGTACCTTTGAATCGACGTCGAAGGTCGGAGCCAAAAATAATAACCCGGGTTTCCCAACATGATGGAAGGCCATATCCACAAGCACTACAATGATGGCTTAGTTCTGTCAATTAAGTCCATGACATATGACGACCACACTTTAACATGAGGATGATGGGAAGCCTTACCTGAAAACCTTTTTAAAAATGCACCAAAGCACATCGATTCACGTTTGACGTCCACTTTTCTGAACCTATTCCCTGACAGCTCTGGCCGGGCATAGCTCTTGAATTAGAACTGCGTATAACTGATGAGGCAACGGTTAACTCCATTGGTTGGTACCCACGACTATGGCCTTATTGCATAGTTTATATGACTGGGTCTTACTGGAGGATATGCTCACTATCTCTCCAAAACTTGCAGTAGGAACTTTGCAGATGAAAATCCAGTCTTACCGAAGAGTCGGACAGACCGAAGGCGAAAATGGTTGGCACCTGCTTTGACGTTAGACGATAATCTCCCCGGTTTTCCACCTTGGTGCCATCCCCGAATTCGACCTGGAGCACTCCTCTTCTCAAAGCCGATAGAAGACCGACGGATTGCTCTGGGCGACGGTGTGAGGTTAACGTGCCTATTACTGTAGCTTTTTCGATTAAGCACTTACCTCAAAACTGTTTGCATTGCCCACCAGTGGGACATTGTCAGCGTAGTCTCTTCAAGGAGGATGTACCAATTCGGAGATGTCGATTATACTTTTAGTTCTACTTGAAAAGTGAACGGACTTTAAGACCTATTTTTAATCTTTGCAGAGCTTTTGCGCGTGTTTGTACTTGTGCTTATCGTTCCCTTTTCACGTTTGAAATAGAACAATTACCGATCAATGAATGACAGGCACGGAATGTGACGAGGACCTGTCGTGATAACGAAAATCAGTCAAAAAGGCTTACGTTTGCTTCATGGGATTCTCGTTCAGTCACAAAAGAGTACTGGGTTCAGTGCGGACCTTAATTTTTGACTGCGATTTCTTCCATCGGCCGACTATTTTTTGACTGCTGTGCTGACAAAGACACGGTGTGAAGACCTACCTTGGCAACCTGTAGATTTGTGTCGGGCTCGGAGTAGTGGTGACAAATTGTTCCACTGCATCGTGTTGTGTTCCTGTCAGCGCAGCTTCTGCATCCTTGAACCGAGCTCCATAGACCGCATGTGCCCAGTGCGCTCGCGAAACCTCACTACTTGTGTAACGGTGGATACTACTGATGGGGCATTCGAGTAATATGTTTTCTCGTAACCACGCTCTGCGTCTACTGGAAAGTGGGATTTGTTACGGAATTTGTGGAATGCCTCTGTAGCATCCGTTTGTATTTGAGTGATAGTCAATGAATATTCAGGAAAGTTCAAGAATACGCGTTCACTAAGAAGACGAGTATTCCGTTTTTATGAACAAGATGCATATGAGTGTTTTGCTTTCTTGTCCAGCAGTCTTTACCTGTTCAGTTGGTGTTTTATGATAGACAACTCCGCAGTGAAGCCCTTCCTTTCGCTTGTAGCGGTTGTTCCGCCACTTTTTACTGGCTGTTTCACCTTTCTGAGATGTTTGACTAGTGGTCATAATCTAGGACAAATTAGTAAATGAAGGTTCTAGATTAATCACTGTGTGTGAATCAGTCAGTTGCCACAGATCCTTGTCCAAACGCACTCTAACAATGGAAAACTGGGGGCTAGTCATAATGCTAATTAGCCGCTCTTGGCCAAGCGGTTAAGTATATCGCGGGGTCGAAACTCTAAGTTTCCTGAGATGCACTAGGCTGATGATTCCCAACAAGGATGAAACGACCGTACTGTAATGGCTTGCTGAACGGTCGTGCAAATCTGTATGAAGTCCTTTGGCTTACTGCTCCACCCACTATGGTATGCCAAAAGGCACGGTAGCTTCAGACAGCCCTTTGTGGGGGCAAAGGAAGATTATTACAACCGTATTCATAGGGCAATGACGGAATGTTCCACAAGTTCGTGCTAGAATCTCCGTGAAGAGGCGATAAGCGTCGAGTCAAAGATGCTCCATCCGGATTGGCTGGCATTCTGACCGATCAGAGCATGCCTTCTTTCGGTTCGTATCCTGCACGTGACACATCCTTCCACATGATGTGGTATTCAGCTATTAGAGACGGCTGGTCTCCGGACACGTACAGTGCTTCCCGGTGTAGATTGGATTCATTGACAATGTTATCTTTCAAAGCTACCAAATCTCCTCACAGCACACCAAGACAGATAAGTACCACTTTGTGTTTGTGGTGTTTTCTCGACGAACCGCACATCTGGTGTTTGAAACAATAAATCTAGTCCAAATTGTTGACCTCGCGGTGTCTCCCGAGGCTTCCATTATCCGAATAAAACTGATTCGCGTTTACCCTAGAGATACAGTGGCTGATTCACAGGTGGAGCCAGCCAGTGACGATGGAACATTAGTGGGCAGGGTTCGCCTACTTGTCAGTGCGATTCAGGGGTGCTGTTGGACTCACAAGGACTAGGAGAATAGCTTCAGGAAACTATGACAACAACAACAGCAGCAGTGTAACCGATGGATAGATGATCGCTAGTAGTTTGACAATAGCTTGGCAGTCTCCTTTAACTAAACCAAACAAACTCATTTTATTTCATGGAATACACTCCTTTACACACCAATCCGATTTCAAAGGGAGACACTCAAGCGGATTCCAGCTGGATCTCGCCTTCATAGCATCCTTCAACTGAATGTGTTATGCGCGATTCGCCACATGTTCAATTTGGTAAAACGTTCTAGGTAACGCGGTATATATTCTTGGAGGAATATGGATTCAAGTAAAACATAAGGGTGATGGAAACTCGGGGACTGCATCTGCTTGCTGAGTCCCAAGAAGGGCGAAATCGGTCGTGGGCTGCTGAAGAGTTTTCAGCAACTTTGTGAGTAGTTGTATGTGGTTGTAAAACTCACATCACTCTCGTTTGAACAGTCCTGTTGTGGCACAATCATTCTGGTGAGCCCAAACCATAAGAGAGTTTCGCTCTTATTAGAACTTCATATATCGATGGTCTTGCCTGAGTTGGAAACGCGGACATCTGACGTGCAAAGAGGGTGTGTTAGCAAATGTTCGCAGCTTTGGCTAAAAGCCCTAAACTACCTAGTATTCAGCTTACGGAAAGAGTTGTGGACCACAGTTTTTCTAATGCTTTCTAAATACCTTGAACACGAGTCTGGATAGCCGCTTGATAGCCTGATGCGCTTCGCCAAAACCAGAAAGCCAATCAACGTGCGAATCAGCTGATCGATCGATTGAGTACTGACGCGTACAGGCGTGTACAGATCACACGATTCCCATTTTAAACAAACCTTGGGACTGTCTATTTTACCGAAGAGTATCAGGGGAACGCATTGGAAGTGGTCAGTAGAGTTAAATTTGCATTTAGGACATCGTGTTTCACAACATCTAAGCAGAAGTTAGAGGGTGCGCGGATTCCCTGGTTTTTGGAAAACAGTGTCGGGAAACATTAGGACCGAAACAGCCAAAAAAACTCTGTTCTCCTCTGGTGATCGACATTTTGCCCTCTGAGTCAGGACAAAATGTTCCGATTTGTGGAGGTGAGGCCGCCATATATATATATATATATGGTAGTTCTGTCGACATGTAACCCATAAACGTGCAGTAACCCTGTGGGGATGACTTTTGTTTCCAAGGGGAAAAACAAAAGCGGCTACTGTCAAGTTGCGAGCTTTGAGATCTTTGTTCATTCCTGTATGGGGCCCACATTTTGGTGTGTGGAAAGACTACAGGAAAAGACACACAGCCACTTCTTAGGCGGACTGCCTGTTCGAAGCTATTGAGTCGTGTTCTTGTCGTTTTTGTCGGGCGAGGTTCATAAAAGACTTAGGTTCGAACCTTCTGATGGCGTCTTGCTCAGTTGTGCTTAGATTAATGGTTCTGGTAGGTGCAGTCATCTCGGTCTTGGATAGTTTCCTTGGAGGCAATGACTCTCCCTCCTTTTGCTTCCGCTATTCACAAAGACCGTCGTACTCGATGGTTGTATGACACTCAAGCGCCAGCTGTCACTAGAGGTTGCATTTCTGTCCATGATGGTTGTGACATTAGCGGACGTTTATTCTAAATAGTAGCAGGAAATTTCTGTGCCTAGTGACTTAAGGTAAGTGGGTTCGCTTTGCTTTTATCGGTACTGCTCAGTTCTACGAATAACATCCTTGGGATAGAGGTTCGTTTGATGATCCTTATGACTTTGGTCGGGGGCTGGTTTTGACGTGGATATGAAAATTAACCTCGTCGCTTGGCTTTTGTAAAGAGCATAGTTCGTTTTTTGGTCATCATGCATGAGTTGATTGCACTATTCGCTCCAGTAGATAGCATGATTGACTCGGTACCTGTGATATATGGTTCGAACCAGGGTTGAGAAAGTGTAGTCCTCAGATTGCCAGTCGGCTGGTCAGCCGTCTGTCAGGCGTTTTCGGTGACTAGGTTCATTCCAACTATCGCACCACCAGTTAGTTGATCGTGTGAACGGAATTCGGCCTTGGTGTATTACTTCCGTATTGTTTGTCTAACATCCTCATGCATTACCGAGTTAGCTAACCAATGTCGGTGACCAAATCACCGCCTAGAATGAACGGGGTTTCCCAGCGGGTCCCCATCGATCCTCAGTCTTCCAGCATGGCGCTATTTCGCGTAGAAAATCGTTGGTAGGAATGGAAGGCAGGAAACTCCTGCTTTCTAATCAAACATGCAAGGTACAAACTACCTGTGGGTTCGGTTGATTCCATTTTCTTTCAAAATCAGGGCAACACAAAACCAGAGAAAGTGTGGAGGCCGGTTTGGCCTCTGGTTTCATGGTTGCAAATTTGTGACCGAAGGGAGCGGTGCATCATATTGCGCGACAAACTGAAACGAAACAATCAGAAGTCAGTTAACAAAAGAGTTAGGATCAGTTGAACCAGAAGGTCAGTCATAAATGCACTTATTTTTGCAAACGAAGTTGGCCGTAATGAAACACTCACCTGAATCCTTCGCTTATGATTTCCTTCAACCGAATACGCCGCACAAATACCTAACGTTTCAGGCGGTATGTCAGAAAAAAATACTTATTTTGCTGTTAGAAAGTCATTGGGGGCGAGATGGCCCAAGTGGTTAGAGCGCGAATTTACCGACTGGAAGATCCGTGGTTCGAACCCGACCTCCGCCTCTCGACTTCCTCTGTCTAGGCTTGGGCAACCTGGCAGTATCCCAGCCCTCGTGCAACCTTCGGGTGGCACGGCAGCTAGGCACCGAAAGGGTGCTACAGCTGAGAGATTTTAGAAAGTCATTATGGAAGTACAACCCGATTGGATTTTGTCAAGTCCTTGAATATGGAATAGTCTTCCTCACGTAGTTGTTAGACCGTAACCAATTGGCTAAGAACCTGATGTGACGATATGCTCAGGTCACCGATGCTGGCACAGGACTGAGGGAATAGAATCACCGTTTGAACTCGCAGAACCCCGTTGGTAGCTGTCAACCGGTTTAGGTATCATCATGTCAGCACTAGTTCTTTGTTATCATGGGTACATGTTGCAGCGGAACGTTCCCATCCCCGCGAAAATAAACCACTATAGCAGTGACCCCTCGAGGGTGTCCGTTCCGTACGAAAAACAAGGATGGTCCCTGGTTGCCCTCATCCCATAGTCTGGTTGTACAGTAGACAAGTAGGTGGACCGAGATGGGAACTGGCCTAACCTGGGCAACTCGCTGGTACTTCCGGGGTGATTTAGTGACCAGCAAGTTCGATTCTACATGGGTAAATCCCTCATGAGTTGCATAGCGCCAGTTTTTACTGGACACGGTACAGTCTTCTCGAGTCTATCATGAAGATACGCGGTGCCCCAAGTTCTTCCGAGCCGTGTATGCATTACCTAATAATTCTTTTTGTACAGCTCCTATGCCAAATGTCAGAGATTTCACAAGTAGCTGAAGTCATATTTCCAAAATGTCAACCATAGCGAGTAAATTCCAGCTAATCACGTGATCAAGTTCAGGTCTCCAACCGTCGATATAATGGTTCGTTCAGAATGTGGTTGCCCTCTATTCCTTCCTGTTGAGGGAGAATTTTGCAGCACACGCCATGCCGCGACAAGTAATCTGAATGCAGGATGTCCCTCGTTTTGGGCTAAGGACGGGCGGATGAAAAAACGAATCATCTATATTTGGATTGGAAAGAGACATTACTGAGACACTACTGATTAGTCCGTGCAGTCTATGCAGAACACCGTGGCCCGCAAAGTGTATGGTACGAATTTTTATTCATGAAACCAGAAGACGCCGTGCGTTGAATGTATGGACGATATTTTGTCTTCCGATTTTGAGACAAAGCAGGAAAATTTGTAGCCGGAAGAGGACTGAACAGCTTACTAACCTTGCTCCTCTATTGTTCCAGTTCTGGGCTCCACAGAGACGGTCCCACAACTACGTGCTTGGGCCTTCAAGCCCAAAAGAAGGAAATTGAAAGTGACAATTTTTAAACGTCTGAGCTTTTGAGACCCATTCGAAAAGCCTCGTTTTCTGTTCTTCCCGAGGTATGCGACCAAAATTCCAAGGGTTGCGCTTGCAAATTAAGACCAATCATGTTGAGCCCCAAGAAGAGCGAAACCGGTTTTGGGCTGTCGAAGAGTTTTCAGCAACCCTATGAGTAGTGCGTTGCATCTATTCAAAGTATACAGTCAGTTTAGCAGGATTCTTGTCAGCATTTCGCCTAAAAGCTCCTCGTTAGCCAATTTTTCTGTTGATATATCTTTTCTTTGGATCGTCTTAGGATTGTGACATCTTCGATCTCTTGTGTGATATCTTCATCTTCCAAGATTTTGTCAAACACACTGACTCCCCTAATGTTGACGCTTCCAGAATGTGCCTCCCGGCAATTAATTCGTCTTTTTTTCAGAACACTTCCGGCTTGCCTTTCAGTCATCGGGTTGACGCTTCCAGAATGTGCCTCCCGGCAGTTAATTCGTCTTTTTTCAGGCTTGCCTTTCAGTCATCGACCCTTGAAGTTCGGTCCTCATTAGCTGACTGTTACGGAGCAGCTGAACAAGATATTTCAGATCTAGAGTGAATGGGGTGTCACATTGGAAAGTGTCTCATTCAAGCAACTTACCTGCGTTCAGGTGCACTAAGCATTCAGGAGGTCAGGGAGTCCAGAATATACTGGTAATGGTCGTTCTGGTTCTTAGGTTCCCTTGAGTGCTCTAAAGAGATGCTTCGCTACGCTCCGTCCTGAGCGGAGCGGACTGAGGATATCTCTCGTCAACTTGCCTTAATTGTCGTAAACGTTCTGCCTTTCGCATTGTGACGCTTCTGCCAACCTTATCCGCTTGACGGTTTCACGGCATATCTGAATAATTGCTACATTTCTCTCCTGGAAAAGGGAACATGTGAATGCATTATTTTAACGGGCACAGGTCTCGGTGTGTCTGCGAAATCTCACGGTTTCAGTTTCTGTTTGATGTGGCTCCTTACTGGGAAATTTCCGGGTTATTCTTCAGGTAAGAATTTCAAAATTCGCTCGCGCTGAATAACCTAGAAAATTCTCGATAATGATTCCAGTTGGCATTAACTTCGTCCCACGATAGATGGATTTCTCCACCGTCAAACTTGCCATCCGTGTTTCGGTCGACACCTTCATCGGTGGATCTTTCCTGAGGTTTCTTTGTCAGGCAATATCATATGTCACGAAAGTTCTACAGCTTCTGTGGGCGTATATTGGTGGTGGCAAGTTCCGTAGCCACACAGCCAGACGTGAGTCTTCCTAGCGGAAGTTAGCGTCCATAGCTCAAATTCGAATCGCCAGACTAACCCTGCCCGTCGGCGTGTATCACAAACGATTACGGCGCTGAGAACATCCATGGACGATAAGTATTCAGTTGACTAAACGTATCTGCTAATATTCGGCGACTTCTCACAGAGGTTTGTCGACTTCCTTGAAGGAGTTCACTCAAAAAGTTGCTGAAAACTCTCGACAGCCCAAGATCTGCTTCATCTGGCTCATCAAATTAGCGAGGTCCTCGGGTTTCCGCCAACCTTGTGTTCTAAGTGAGCTCAACCTGTACGAAATTCGTGAGCTACCCTCATTTGTACACAATTTGGTTTTAACAGGAGACCCGGGTGAATCCAAGCTGAATCTTCCAGGGTGCCGAGGAGTTTTCAGCAACCTTATGAGTAGCGCGTTGCTCCTGTACAATTTATTCTGACTTATCAAATATCGTACGAACGAAAACACGAGGCGATCTTTGTGCAGCACATTCAGGTGCTTAAGAACATCATAAATGAGAGATTCGGCTGGTTTCCAGGTGAATTTCCCGTTTGCTCATCGAACTCTGTCCAGTTTGGGTTCAAGCAGAACTCGGGGACTGCGTATGCCTAAAAGCGCGAAGCCGGTCGTGCGCTATTCAAGGGTTTTCGGCAGCCTTATAATTAGTGTGCCTCCAAGAAAATATGCCGCGCTATCGGTGTGCAAGTGTGTGCATTTCGCGATTTTATTCTGGCGGAAATCGGCTTGCCTTCTTTCTTAATTTTTATGCTTGTTAACTGGACTCATCATCTATCGCCTGGCTACCCGTTGTCGATTCCATGCCCTAACAAAAAACGGAGTTTTTGAAACCCCATGTTTCCACGACTGCTTTCGGTTTACCAAATGGAAATCCTCAGGGTAGTTTCTTCTAATATGTTCAGAATGTCACGTTTCGTAAATTGTTACTGCACGCGAGGTAGACACGCAGTCATTCTCTGTCTCAAAGCCGAACGTACTGCTCAACTAACGACTCAATTCACTGTGTTCAGTTCGATCATTTTCCCCACATTATACCTGTGATTGATCACTGCCTTTCCCCTGTTTCCATACGCACGAGCAGTCCGTTTCACCCCCGCGAATCAGGCCGGGCATTAGTTAGGTAAATCGATAAAGCATCCTATTCACGAGGACTGGTGAGCAGCGAACATTTACGCCCACACACCCTAGCCATTCCATCTCACGCGCCAGCTACTGGTTTGTAAAGCCGTTGTCCTCACTATCTCTCTCTCTCTCTCCTTACCACAATGTTTCTGATGATCGCACACTTCCCACCTCCTGTCAGTGTTTGCTGCGTGTCTGTCTATCCTACGATCGCTACGAAGCTTCTGATTTTCGCACAGTATTTATTGCGTGAACGATACTCATGGAACCTAAAACGAGTGAGTGACCTGCCGCGTTTTTTTCTCACACATGTGAGGATGCCTAATCTCGTGTGTTTTGGACTTTTTATCATCGTAACTTCCATCCACGCTCGCCTACACACTAACCAGTGGCATGTTCAGCTGGAAGCGGTTGAGGGTCAGGAAGATCCAGAAGCGTTAGCCAAATCCGTTGCAGAATCACTTGGCTTTCATAAGCTACCGAGACCTGCCTTTCTCGGTTCCCATGAATTTCTATTCACCCATCATGGCGTACCACATATTCAGAGAGCACAGAGCAAAGCCCAAACGCACCTGCTCAATTCGCATCCGGCCATCAAATCAGCCACACAATTGGAAGGGTTCATGCGTCGTAAACGCGGCTACAGACCATTAACTGAGGATAACTTGTCACGTGCAAAGCTACCGGAACCAAGAAGGTTGACCGAAAAAGAGGACGAGATTGCCAAACGTCTGACTGAAACAGATCCTCTGTTTTCCAGTGAATGGTTTCTTCACAACATTGGTCAAGCCAACGGAATTCCTGGATTAGACTTGAATGTTTTGTCCGCATGGGCCCAAAATGTGACTGGCCGAGGTATCACCACGGCCATAATGGACGATGGAATAGACTACCTTCATCCGGACATTGCACCAAACTATTCGGCTGAGGCGAGTTACGATTTCTCTAGCAACGATGCCTTCCCCTATCCACGTTATACCGATGACTGGTTCAATAGTCACGGAACCCGTTGTGCTGGAGAGATTTCTGCGGTAGCCGGCAATAACATCTGTGGTGTTGGTGTAGCCCCGAATTCCAAGGTTGCTGGCTTGCGGATGTTAGATCAACCGTACATGACCGATATGCTTGAGGCCGCGGCCATGTCCCATGCTACAGATCTTGTTCACATCTATTCGGCTAGTTGGGGACCAACGGATGATGGGACCACCGTGGACGGACCGAGGAATCAGACAATGCGAGCAATTGTGGAGGGGGTGAACAATGGTCGTGGGGGCAAGGGTAGCATCTACGTTTGGGCCTCAGGCGACGGTGGGGCGGACGATGACTGCAACTGTGATGGTTATGCGGCGTCCATGTGGACCATCAGCATCAATTCTGTGACCAACGATGGCGGTACGGCCGTGTACGATGAGTCCTGTGCGTCCACGTTAGCATCAAGCTTCTCCAATGGGAAGCGGTCCTTGCACCGTGACGTGGGTGTGGCTACCACGGACTTGTACGGTAAATGTACACTGTATCATTCGGGCACATCCGCTGCAGCTCCTGAGGCGGCCGGAGTATTTGCATTGGCATTGGAAGCCCAGCCAGAGCTAACTTGGAGAGATATGCAACACCTGACAGTGTTGACATCCAAGAGGAATCGTCTGTATGATCCTCACAATCTACACAACTGGACTATCAACGGGGCCGGATTGGAGTTCAACCACTTGTTCGGCTTCGGTGTCCTCGATGCAGGCGCTATGGTTCGGTTAGCAAAACAGTGGAAAACCGTTCCAGAGCGATTTCACTGCATGGCTGGCAGTTTCCAGGGAAGGAAAAGCTTGAATGTTCTCGAACCTATTCAACTGGAAATTACCACAGATGCGTGCAAAGAGGATCCGGAGAACCAAGTAAGTGCAATGCATTCAAGTGTGATTCCCTCATTGGTGTTTTATTCACATCGCCTGAAAAGAATACTCTGACCTGGAAAATTCTGGGGCCCACAACGTTTGGCGTTATCAAAGGTATTCCTTTGGCACAGAAACAGGTAAAGATTGGGAGGATCCTTTGGGGCAAACGCTAGATCTGTTGGTGAAGTCCTCTTCATCGTCAGCTTCTTTAGTCAACGTATCAGATGTCTGTCATCAGGAACTCGAAATAAATTCGGTCTCACGGGTTATTTGACTTAGAAGTAACCTAGGATCACACATGATCCAAACACCTTTTATTGATTATCTTAAGGATTAATTCCTCACTGACCCATCATATCCCCGACACTCTTGTTTCCATCCTAATTTCCACAGTCGTTCTACATTTTATTCACAATTAACAGGGCCATTCTTCTATCATTATGTCAACATGCTGTACTGCTCGAATCTAATTAATTCTCAATGTTACACACTACTCATAAGGTTGCTGAAAAACCTTCGACAGTCCACGACCGGTTTGGCCCTTCTTGGGGCTGATCAGGTGGGCGTAGTACCCCTCCCACACACACACACAGTTTCCGTCAACCTCATGTTCTACTTGAACCCAAATTGGACTGATTTCGACAAATACACTCAATCGTATACGAATTCGGTTTCAGTAGAAGACTCACCTGAATCGAGCTGAATATCTCGTTTCTGATGGCCCGCCTCAGCTGAATTTGCTACGATACTCGAGATATCGCAATTCGTTGAGGTCTAGAAGTAACCCTTTGACAGTCCACGATCGAGTTAATGTAGGCACAGTCCCCTGAGTTACCGTCTCTATGGTTCTCATTGTTTTAGGTAAGCGAGAAAACATCATAGAACTATAAAACTTGTTTTAAAAAAGTAGAGTGTTATTACTTATTCATTTGGAAAATTGACTGTCATCGTCCACTTTCGCCGAATGTTGCTTTAATGGCACCCATCTCAAACTGGTTCGAAATAGCTTTAAAAACCAGCCACTGGTTTCCTCAAGATTTCAGTATTCTGCTCTCTTCCATCCTGATGTCACGTGACACTGAAAGGGGCTGAGAAGTTCTGCTCGAATTTCCAACCACGTCATGCATCATACGTAGCAACAGTAATCTAAACAACGGGAACTCAGTAGACTGCTGAAAGTATCCTCGTTTTTTACGCAGAGCAAATTCTTCTAGCGGACATATTTCAAATTCATTCGCTCGCTCTCGGCCACAGTGTTTTGTAGCACTGCGGCGTGTAACTTTGTGAGCCCAGGCAGTCCAGAACGCTTTGACACATCTAACTGAGATGGGGACCCTAGACTTCGCGTTAAATCTTGGGTACTTCATTGGGAGTTGAGAACTCTTTGGGTCGATGGATCGTCCAACTGTAACACCCTTTCGGTGCCCAGCTGCCATACCATCCAAAGTAAGCACGAGGGCTGGGATACTGCCAGGTTGCCCAAACCTAGACAGAGGAAGTCGAGAGGCAGAGGTCGGGTTCGAACCACGGACCTTCCGGTAAGTAAATTCGCGCCCTAACCACTTGGTCCATCTCTCCCCCATCTTGGACCGTTGGTTACAAGTATCACATGCCACTTCCCCTATCAGAAGTCATTCTCGGTAAGGGTTGTAAGTTCATATATTGTAGAAAAAAAATTAGTAACGCACTGAAAAGGTTTGGCTCAACCGTGGTGTGAACACTATGAAAGACGTGGGAATGGCGCTCAGAATCCCCAGCTCAGTACGAATGCATTCTAGTGGCACTGCTCAGATGGGGAACTTTTGTAATCTGATGGTGGTGGTCTCAGGAGATTCGGTGATTTTCAATCAAGATTTCGTTCCAGGAAGCTGACAGGCTGTTTCGTCCGTGTTTGGAATTATCAGCAATGTGCAACACACGAAACTCAGAGAGCTTCGTACCCCTAAGCTTCCGGCCAGTGGGGTTGAATACGCATCCGTTCGGCCATGAAGAGCTCAACATCAATGTGATCAGCTCTCACATAGACCTTAAAACTTGTATTCTCTAAAGCCAGGAAGTTTTTGTTCAATCATTTGAAAACTGCTTGGAACTCACTGAGAAACTTTGGTATTTTTCTAAAATCCTCCGACTTCTAATACGGCATTAGTTTGCTCTCTGTTCTGCCGTAGGTTTGATTACTCTGAAGAACATGCCTAATTTCCTCGACGGATGTTCTCCAAACTGTTCTCGACACAGTGCTCTCCCTAATTTAGAAGACCTTTTGTGGTGAAATGTCAACAGATCCGCTCGCCAACTTCGTGGTCAGAATGAAGACTAATCATCGTTGGGACTGCTATCGTGGAATCCTCTTGGATGCTCAACTGTGCTCATGTTTATCAACAAACCACCATGCTCGCCTATACCGCAAGGTGCCTCCCTTACGAGCTTACGTCTACTGGTGTAAGGAAGAATACCCTTCGCCGCTAAGCCGTTCGTTGGGAAACACCAACCGAACAGTTACAAACTATTGGACAGGAAAGCAAACGCCTCATATGCGCGTAGTTTAAAAAAAACTGAGAGTTCTCACGCGTCCTCTCGGACTTTTGTGGACATTCGTTGTCTATCACGAATTGGAAATGAACAGTGCAAGGCAGTTCCACAGGTTCCGTAATAAACCCCACCTTCCATTAGACGCGAAGCGAAGTTACGAGTAAAATACAGACTACTCGCATGCCTCATCAGCAGTATCCACCGTCACACTATTAGGACGAATTTCAAAAGCCATATTGTGATTCAGCACCCCCTTACACCTCCCACCCCCAGTCTCACATTCGCAGTATATAATTGATGATCGTTCAGGTGCATGACACTTCCCATCGCTTGGCTCTGTGTGTATCTTCCACGTCAATTTTATTACCACAACTCACAATTAATTAATACCCACATATCGTGAAAGCGCACCCAAAAATTTAGCCTAAAACTATACTACTCACTAGCCTATTGGCTGATCCAAAACAAACCAGAGGCATTAATTTTTCTCGCTGCGTGATGGGTGTGTAGCGTGAGGCGAGAATGACCGCTGTATCATCGGGGCACACTTCGCGGAATTTCAATAGTGAAATCTGAACGAGTGAATGTGCTCACGCTTGACAGACATGTGTATGGCTTTCTAGACGCTTCGGAAGATGACCTGCTTCTGCACTAAACCGAAAAATCAATTTCTCAAAAAGAATTTTGCCAATAGGTCGAACATCAGATCTGTAGCCTGTGCACAAGTGGGCATCACATCATGGTATTGAGCCCTTGATTGTTAAACTGTGGATATGTAGGTAGATTTCGTCATGTGGTCAAAAAAACAGTCGTAAAGCAACTCCTACAGGATAATCCGGAATGTGCTCAAACCAGGCATCCAACAGGGCTCCATCTTTAACACTAAAACTCCTAAGGTACCCTGGTGGACGTGTAGTTCGACTAATCTGTTTCACCTACCTGAAGGTGGGTGAGTTTTCCCGACTGTACACATTCTGGTTTTGGGCGTACACTCCACCTTTCACCCCCTACCGGCTGTTGCGTTTAAGCGCTTCTTAAAGTAGATCTCATGGCGCCCACACCTAGGCAGCAGGACGATCAGGGTATTCAACCAAAGCCTTTGGCTCAAAAGCCCAACCGCAAGGCAGCGGTGTTTGGCGGGAAATGCAAATGCATGATCATTTCTACGGAACATGTCGCCACATGTTCCAACCCCCAACCTGGAGGGCCAGGAGACTGTGTTCGTCAGACCTCTAACCATTGACCAACCTGGTATGAGAGACTCTGTGAGTGTCACGGGGACACTCCCCAGTATAGCTCAATGGGTCGCTGAAGTGTGCAAACCGTCACACTACGGTAAGGTCCAGTCTATTCGTGACGACTGGACTGTCTGTTTGTGAGATATTGTCGAAGCGCCTCAACTTGAACAAACTGATGCATGCTGTGACGTGAGGAAGTTTAGAGTACGTAGGTAACCTTAGCGGTAGGTGTGAGAATGCCTGGGCAAAAAAATTGACTCTGCACCTGTAGAGAAAATTCCTCGTGTTGATTTGTAACTTGCCAAAACGAACCATTTTATGCTAATTCTCCTTAAAGTGGCGATAAACCAACTTATGTCAGAGAGGGAATACCGGAAGATAGGAGCAATAGAACGGGCGCCATTTGATGTCCCCTAAGACCGCTGTCCCAAAAAATTTGGGTGCCTAATTGTACATACCGCTCTGATAATTTTAGTAACCCCTCTGTATCTCATAGAGCTGTTTGTGTTGTTGATGGACCAACCGTATCCAAGCGACCGATTAGAAATCGCGCAGTAGCCATAGTATGGTTTACTGTTTCGGTTTTGTTCTTTTCGTGTTAAATCTAGGAACACTTTGTATTTGCTTTTACACACACGGTGATTTTCGAATACCCTACTCCCGTTCTATTCAGGTCAACTACGTGGAACATGTTCAGGCATTTCTGACCATAAAAGCAACTCGACGCGGAGATCTGACCATCTTTATCACATCGCCCATGAACACCACTTCGATGCTACTACGTCGTCGTCCAAAAGACGCGGACAGTTTGCGAGGTTTCACCAAATGGCCGTTCATGACTACACATACGTGGGGAGAGAACCCCCGGGGAACATGGCGCTTGGATGTCATACTGGATCCCCGCACCAACGACCTACTTGGTCACGCAACTTTGACCGAGTGGATTCTCGTGATTCACGGAACACGTGACCCACCATACAGTGGTATTCCAGAAGGCACGGAATCGATCGCACCCAAACTTGGGATAGTCAAAAGGCAACACGCCACGGATCTGTTCACACAGTGAGCTTCGTTCTAGCCTCAGTACGCCGAGAGTGTTTGGTCATAATCTGTGTCCTGTCTCGTCCCGTTCTCCAATGTTCAGGAAATTTTTAACTCGATCCAAGATCACGTCACTGTTCTCTGTCTGTTTTACACTATCTTTGGTCGTCCCAACCCGCCGGCGCACCATACAGTAACGTGTTGTCCTTGTACATGGTTCTTGCGTCTTTCTGTGGATCTATTTGCGTGCGCACCCCTTATTGTAACCAAAGTCATCTAGAATTCAACATTCCGAACGAGTCTGATCGCATCCAGAGTCACCAGTGCGTTCATCTGTGATTTCATCCGATTACTTTCATATTTTAAAAAATCAAATTGTCCACTAATAGTTGACCCATCGTTGTTTTTCTTATCAAAACATGAGGGCCACCTAACACTGAAGCCGTGTCAGCTATTATAATGCCAAAAAAGGGATACTTTGAGACTAAACGTGGGGTTTGTCAGTTTGATTATCCTTGGTCCTCGTGAACATGTACGCTACTAGTGACCAGTGAGATGGGGGGCGAGATGGCCCAAGTAGTTAGAGCGCGAATTTACTGACCGGAAGGTCCGTGGTTCGAACCCGACCTCTGCCTCTCGACTTCTCCTGTCTAGGCTTGGGCAACGTGGCAGTATCCCAGCCCTCGTGCAACCTTCTGGTGGCATGGCAGCTAGGCACCGAAAGGGTGCTACAGCTGAACGATCACGATCAGCTTATTTCACACAGACCAGCACGTTAAGCGCAGCGAATCGCATGATACATGGGCAGTGAAGATGTCCCCTCGACTAGCGGCGAAACTTCTGCAAGACAATCGCCAGACTCAATGGGTGAACCAATCATCAACCAACAGCAATGGGTAACCGATTATTTTGACAGAAATTGTGATGGCAGAGGATGGATAAATCTTTTTTTGCTGACGGGACTTTTCCTGAAACCCCAAAAGATTGAAGTTCAGTCAAGAGATAAAGAGAGATGGGTTTCAAGGTTGAAGTTAAGAAATCGATACCCCTCAATTTGAGCATGAAAATTGTTGATTCTTTTGCATTCATTTAAAGGAAACTGAAGATAGCTTCGCGGTGAAGTCGCGAACTTACTGACCGAGAGGTCCATGGTTCGAACCCTGGCATTCGCTATGGTTGAAGATTGAAGTTAAGAGATTGAGACCTTTCAATTTGAGCATGAAAATTGTTGATTCTTTTGCATTCATTTAAAGGAAACTGAAGATAGCTTCGCGGTGAAGTCGCGAACTTACTGACCGAGAGGTCCATGGTTCGAACCCTGGCATTTCGACGCTATGGTTTTGGCCTGGACAACCCAGAAGCATCTCAGAACTCGTGATTCCTTCGACGATGACGCTTCATCTCAAACGTTCCAGTCACTGAGATTGTATGGTGTGTTCTTCAAAATCGACCACTTTTGTTTTACAGTCACTGCTTGTAAAGATCAAACTCAACCTTTTGTAACCCTTCACAGATCCCCCGTAAGAATCGTAGGAAAGCGGTTAGGAATTACCGTGCAGTAATTCATCGGTAATGGGATTCCTGAAGAATTCGACGCATGATTATACCAATAGATCAAATTCAGCATTTGTGTCCGCCCATCAGAAATGTCGATTTTTTTTTTGGGGGGGGGGGGCGATGTATGGGGGCACGTACGACAGACGTCCGTCCAGGATCACTCTGTACACTTTCTCCAAAAGAGCTTAATATCCGTACTCAAAAAGTCGGTGAAAGAACACTTGTTGGACTCGTCAGATTTCTCAGTGCTGACGACCGATCCAGTCAATGACAGGGGACATAGAAGCATTAATGCGGTCATCAGAACTTGAATCAAAACACCTTCCCAAATGGGATTCGATATGGGCAGACAGAAGCACAGGCAAAAAGCCCTACATACTAGGTGGCAGCATCTTCTAAGGAAAAAAATCGTTCACCTGGAGCACCCTAGCTGCTACGCCACACGAGGGCTGGGATACTGCCAGGTCACACAAGCCTAGACACGGGAAGTCGAGAGAGAGAGGTCAGGTTTGAAACACGTACCTTCCGGTCGGTAAATCCGCGCTCTAACCAATTGGTCCATCTTCTAAGACAAGTTTTATACTCGAAATTCCCCCAAGATTAATTGTGGTGGTGGAGAAATCAACAAGACAAAGCCAGTTGAAGGATAGCATAAGTTCGGCACATCGCTCAATTGTGGACACGTTCGCCCGTTTCACATGTGTGGTTTCAGATGTACGTTGTGCCACGCTCGCCTCGCATGGCAGATGCGCGGATTTCAAACTCCGGCGTGTGAACTTACCAGAGTAATTACGCCAGGACACGAGGATGACTGTCCAAACGAGGGTGATGTGAACGGTGGCACGGTTTGACCAAAGTCGCCGGGACATGTTCGCGTGAGTAAAGTTAGTGTCAGCGCGGCAAATTTTACAAACTAGGATGTAGGTTGGGGAGCAGTGAGCTTCGCACTCCGTCAGTGGTTCCTCAGCTGATCTGAGACCGGCCTACAAACACTCGCAGATTTCTTCCCTTTGGTGTGACGAGGCTTTGATGTCCACCAACAATTACTTCGACTCCTCCCCAAACATTTCCCTCCGAATTATCACTAGATCGGCTTTGAACACATTCTAATCGATCGTCAAAAGCCAAATGCGTCATTCTGTTTGGGTCAGTTGCAGTCGGCGCTGATAAAGAACTCAAAATCGAAATCAAAGCTCCTGACACTTCGCCAAAAAAATGTAAAAACAAGCTTTACACTCAAGATTAGGTGCAGACCTAACTAGGACCGATTCAGTAAAACACCGAAAAAGCGTTCTGTTGAGCTTGAATGCTTGTGATACAGTTGGTTCACTTCTGACGTGGCGCGATTGACTGGTTTACTGCTTCATCTCCAAGTACGAGGTTGCAGACAAAAAACCGTACGTTCTTCGGACGCGACCAACTCTCTGCCGATGTCATCCAGGTTAACAGAACCTTCAAGCTTCCTTCCTTGCTGTCCTATAGACGTCTCGGTATAGTAAGCAGCTCTGGATTAGGACAACACGACGCGACTTCGTAACAAAAGAGGAAACAGCCTGATCGAAACTCGATTAGTTCACTGCTCATGCAGTGACGAAAAGTTGTGTAATCACGGATCAGCCCAAGTCAGCAAGTTAGATATTCTGGCCTGGCTGGGCGGCACAGACATCACGTACTGACAAAAAAACCGGCGTTCTCAGGGGATCGTGATCAACACGTGACCTTAATCCCCAAGTTCGAGACTCTCCGGAGTTTCGTGAAATGTGCGTTGCTGATGGTTCTCAAGAAGGGTGAAACAACTGTACGGTGCTTCTCGGCCTTTCAGTATAGACTGGCTTCCGTTCAAGCGTGCCAAAAAAGCCCGTTGGTAGACCAGCGAGTCCTCATATTACGAGGCGTTCAGAGGGATAAAGTCGTGCTGTCCGCTGCGATAAGAGTGTGAAAACAGTAAGGTTTTTGCCTTTCCAACGTAGCTGTGAGAAGGCTTCGAATGTTTGTGAAACCGTCATGGTTCACGGATGACCAAGTTCCAAACAAAGCTGAAAGCCAGTGGACAGTTGAGGAGAATACATTTGAACTAAAGCAGTTTGGTTTCATGAGAACACTTCTTTGCTATCCAAGCCGATTCACATCAATTAGCTGTTCGTCAGAATTCTCGAAAATCAGAGAGACAATAGCCGATAGACAACAGGGCCAAGCCTCTGAAACATTTACAAGAAACTGAAAACGAATAGTAGACCAAATGAAGTAAATATCTCCATTTGTAGGCCGATCACCGTTGTCACAAACAATTCCCCATTGAACTCGACCGCTTCAGCTGTTAGAACATAAACAAACTGGTGAAAAATTCGACAAGCTGGACGAAATCCGGACAACTTTTGTGGCACTGCTCGAACGGCT